TGCCCCACATTCACCCAGTAAACTCATACTGCTTTTAGGACAGAGTGAAGCAAGGATTCTGAGGTGGCAAGCTCTCTGACATTCACTGACGTCCCTGATCCTCATGCATGTAATAAAATAATAATGGAGAGGAGCTTTAGAAAGCATTTGGTCAGGGAAAAAATAAAAGAGAAAAGTCATAGCTGTGTTAATGAGTAATTCCTTCCTTCTCCTAGCACTTCAAGAAAGCCATCTCTGGGGTTGAGTTTGTCTTGGAAAGATGGGAGTCTATGTGAGCTCTACCACGGAGCGGGAGAAGAGAAACAAAAAGGGGGTGTGATGCTGAACTCTGTCTGAACAACTCCCATGAGCACTTCTATTCATTCACAGAATGGTTTGGCTTGGAAGGGACCTTAAAGACCATCTAGTTCCAACCCACCTGCCATGGGCAGGGACACCTTCCAATAGACCTGGTTGGTCAGAGCCAATTAATTCCAAGTTCTTTACAGTAGGAAGAAAATTTATAAGTACTTAACCAATGAAGATGGTATAAAAAAACCTGGGTCTTGGCCATCCTTACATCCTGCATAGATTTGTCTGAAAGGGATTTGCTCTGTTTCTTCTGCAACATTTTGTATCTAAGTATATTCCCCTATGTAAGCAGCATAGATTTTGATAATGCACTGGTGATTTGGCAAAAGACATTGTGCCAAGAGAATGTGGCAAATTTTGGTACAGGTGTTTCCTTTGCAAAGCCCAACAGACATTATGATCAGCAAAATGTTAGGCTCTGTGATGAACACTCCTTGAGCACAAAGGAGTGCAGTGGCACAATGGCAGGTGGGGAACTCCAATATGGTACCCAGAGAAATTAGCTTCTCCCAAGACTGTCTCATGACATCACAAGAAGCATGGCCAGCAGGTCAAGGGAGGTGATTCTACCCCTCTACTCTGCTCTAGTGAGACCCCACCTGGAGTATTGCATCCAGCTCTGGGGTCCTCAACACAAGAAAGACATGGACTTCTTGGAGCAAGTCCAGAGGAGGCTGGCTACAAAGATGATTAGAGGGATGGAGCACCTCTTCTATGAAGAAAGGCTGAGAGAATTGGGTTTGTTCAGCCTGGAAAAGAGAAGGCTTTAGAGTTGCCTAATCATGACCTTCCAGTACCTGAAGAGAGCTTTCAAGAAAGACAGAGGGGGACGTCTTACAAGATCATGTAGTGACAGGACAAGGGGAAATGTATTCAAACTGACAAAGAGTGGGTTTAGAGCAGATATAAGGAAGAAATTATTTACTGTAAGGGTGGTGAGGCACTGGAACAGGTTGCCCAGAGAAGCTCTGGATGCCCCATCCCTGGAAGTGTTCAATGCCAGGCTGGATGGAGCTCTAATGGAAGGTCTAATGGAAGGTGTTTAAGGTCCTTTCCAACCCAAACCATTCTGTGATTCTATGATAGCCATCACTGTGAATTGTGGAGGTTACTGCCTACAGGAGTATAGGAGACTCCTGGGACAGTGTTCAATGCTGGATGGAGCTCTAATGGAAGGTCTAATGGAAGGTGTTTAAGGTCCTTTCCAACCCAAACCATTCTGTGATTCTATGATAGCCATCACTGTGAATTGTGGAGGTTACTGCCTACAGGAGTATAGGAGACTCCTGGGACACAGGAGAAGACCATTTTGTGATGGCACAAGACCAAAGTCAAGGAAAGGGAGGTTTGTTTGGGGAGTAACAAAGATGTGGAAGGTCTAATGGAAGGTGTTTAAGGTCCTTTCCAACCCAAACCATTCTGTGATTCTATGATAGCCATCACTGTGAATTGTGGAGGTTACTGCCTACAGGAGTATAGGAGACTCCTGGGACACAGGAGAAGACCATTTTGTGATGGCACAAGACCAAAGTCAAGGAAAGGGAGGTTTGTTTGGGGAGTAACAAAGATGGAGTAAAAGAGGGATAAGATAAATGAGGCTTTTCAGCTGCAAATAGGTTGTTGGTCAGTAACACTTGTTTGGCTGTGCCCTGCAGGTACCTAATCATCACACTGTCCTGTCTTCTCATTAAACTCCTCCTGGATGATGGATCTTCATGCTCTGCCCATGAAGGTGTGAGTGGCAGCCATTGGAGAGGGCACCATGAGTCACAAGGGGCCTGTACTCCTCAGGTACCTGTGGCTGGAGAGACTAGAGCATGTCCGTGTTGTGTGGGTCTGTGTGTCAGTGTGCAGTCACCAGCAGGATGAGGGGCTTGGGATCCAGGTATCAGAGTAGTCATGGTTTTGGGAGGGATACTGGCTTATTAAAGATACAAGCAAGTGTTCTTATATTTATTTTTTTTAAGCACTAGGTGTGAAATCCATTAAATGTACTAAAAGCAAGCCAGAAAAAAAAACCAAAACAAAAACTCCAAGATACCAAAGCCCAAAGCAACTAGACAAAAACTTTCTTTACTTTTAGAAAAAGAATAACAAAAGGCCTTAAACTCCTTTTCAGTCAGAACCCAAACAAACTAGGGACTTGCATAATTCCTTATTATATGAATTCCCCTTTTTGCTTCCTTTAATGCTTAGTGATTTACAATTCTGTCCCAAAGGACAGTGATAAAAGTAGCTGATGCTTTACATGGACAACATTCCTAGCTAAAACCAAAGTTTTTAAGACATGTTCTTAAGTATTCTGAAGCACTTGTGTAGGTGATGGCTTGGTGGTATCCATGTGCAGGTGAAAGAAGAGACCCCAAAATAAATTATGGGTTTTTTTTCGTGCAAAATGAATAAGACTAAATAAACAGCTTTCCAAAATGGTTAGATTTATCACAAAGAACATCCTGAGTATGAACAAAATTCTATTTTATTTTTTTATGTACACAAAAAAAGCCCTGAACCTAAAATGTTAGTTTTGGAAGAAAGCTGCTGTATTATTCTGTCCATTTAGATCAGCAACTTTTGTAATATGCTTCCTGATAACATTTCCCTGAGAAAACCTTGAGAAAGAAGACACAAGAACCAGTAATGTATTTTTATTAAAATATCTTTTAAGACAGTCATCATCATAAAATACACTGAGTGTTGCTGTATGGCATTTGTGTGCACACCCTGCTCACAGCAAACTCTGGACAGCATCAGCAATAGCAAAATGAGGCAAGCCCCAGAAAGTGTGCGTCCTCATTCCCTTCTCTCAGGCCATTCCACAGACAACATTTTTGTGCTGTTCCCCACAGTGTTTCCTGGACACCTGTTAGGCCAATCCCCATGTCCCTCTCACTCCCCACCCACCCACTTCTCTTGGTTTGACCCCCACAGTGAAATTCTGATGCTGTAAATGGAGACACTGTCACAGATCAGTGGGGCAGCAGGTGCCTGAGCAGAAACATCAGCCCTGTTTCTCTCCCAGGAAGATTCTGAGTTGCCATAATATTTCCAATACTTTAAGGCTGCACAACTCCAAAGCTTCCTAATGACCTGTAGCAATGCTAACTGACTATGTGTCTCCTCTCCTGGTCAGGAGATGCACCACCCTCCAAGCTACACAATCATTGCTACTCTAGCATGTTCTTTCTCTCCATTCATTTTAAGAAACTATAGCAGAAGAAAAGATAACATGAATTGTCAAACACAGGAAGAACAACTCCTCCATGATAAGCTAATTTTTTATCACTTAATTGCAAGGCTAAAGTGTGAAGACATTCCATTATCTGCGAGTTCAAAACAATAAACATTCATCTTTCAAGTACTTCTTCGCAGCTGAAAAAAGACACTGAACGTTATTTCACAAGAGTAGGGTTTTTTTATTATAATCATTATTATTTCAACTTATTGAAAAAACTGTATCATGAGGAAAAAAAATGAAAAAAACACATTCAGGCAAACTTTTCAACAAAACAAATGCAAAATGACTGCTTTCATTTGTACATGGTACAGATAGACAGGTGTGACTAGAAAACAGTTTAATCCCTCTAGACTGAGGTTAGTGAGAGAAAAATGAATAGTCAAATTCTTTTCTTGTGTGTCCATATGCATTATAAAAATAATTCAATGAGTTAACATATTATCATTATAAATACCAAAAGCTGATCATTCACTACTTATACACTTTACTCTTGTACTTAGTACCATAATCAGTATGACCATTAGCTGGGTCATAGCAACTGCTATGTAACTGCCAACATATAAAAACTCTTACTTAGAAAAATGGACAATGTTCTACACTCAGAACATTCTAACCTTGCTGTTCAGACACCTATTTCCTTTTTCACTGACAACACTTCAAGGGGGGGGATTTAATAATAATAAAAGTTTTGGAATAAATATTCACAGCCAGCTACTAAATGGGAACATACTTGCTGCCTGCTGCATAGCTGGGAGCTCTGTACAACTTGCTTGTTTGTATCATTTCATTATACTTTATTCCTTTAGTCATTGAATCTATAATAGCCTTTCATGTTTCCTTTGCTGGACTGAACATTCAGGGAGTAAGCAACCCTGGAGAACAGCGCAAAGGGCAGGAGATGCAACTGCACTTAACAGCTTTATTTTGGGATCTAAGAGAATGAAAAGATCACCTTTTGTAACACATAAATTATGCAACATAGGCCCCACAATGTACTTACAAGAGCAGGGCCAAGTGAGACTTGGAAGAAAAGTGTCCCATACATAGTGTTTTGCTGGGCAGCCCTTCTAAGAAGTGAGGATTTTATCCACGACAGCCCATGGGTTGAACTTGAAGGGAAACCATGAATTTACCTTTTCCCCCAAATACCACTTTCACAATAGAAAGCTAAACTCAAAAACTGGAAGGTAATAAAGTTAAAAAACCCAACAAACCCAGAAACCAACCCCCCAAAAAACCTTGCCTCTAAAGAACAACCACCCCCACTCAAACCTAGCAGCCATTTATTTATTTGTTGAACTTAGATAATGGAACTCTCATTACCATATTCTTAAGGTTTCCCTACTCTACACTACAAGATAGAGCACTATATTCTGAAAACCAGTATAGTCAACGTTTTCCTTTGATCTGAATGCAATCAGAACAACAACAATGAGCATGACTGTACCATTCGAGCAGAAATAAAGAAAAATAAGCTTAAAACATAATGTTTAAACATCTACTAGTTAGCCTTGCTTACATGAATAAAAAAAACCAAACCCCCAAAGTTTTCAGATTTTATACATCTCTTTTTTTTTTCCCAACCAGGTACATTTCATTGCAACCAGCAGGCACTCCACCACGACACAGTATCTGCAATCCCCCTCTCTGTAACTGAGAGAGATTACTTTGGCCTCAGTATTGCTGTGTGACAGATTTCCTGCTTCAAAACATGCAGTTCATACACTTTACAGTTTTGCTGCCATAGTCGATGCATTCTGGCCCGATACACTCGCAGCAGGCGTTGTGAAACCATCGGTATTTGGAAGCTCCCATGGACTCACAAGAGATCTTGCACTGATGTATTGACATGCAGTCATCAAAATACACCACAGTACACATGTGCTCTAAACCAAGAGGGGGGAAAATGTGGTTTAAAAGGTCTTAAAATATTTTTCAAGGTTAGTTACAAATTAATTAAATGTGCAGCTTTAGAAGTAGGATTGCAAATCGACAGCAGTATGAGGCATAAGGGGAAAAAAAGGTGACAGTAAAAGCAAGAGAGGAGAGACAGAGTCGAGGTGCAATCTATCAGCTTCAAGTTTTCAGCATCTATAGCTCAACCTGTTGTCTGATCTCCTTCTGGACTGATTTATTTCCATAGTCATGGGCAAGACTGTTTTTGGGTTCTGTTCCCCAGTTATGAGAGATGCCTTCTAAAGCGTAAGGATGGGCCATGCCAAAATGACAAGCAGGTGTGTGTCCTCTGAAGGCAATATGCAAACACAAAAAACTTCAGGTTATTGAAAACCCATCAAAACTCACTTATTTAGGTGTAAATGGTTCCTCTCCCCCTCCCCAAACTCCACAATATTCTTAATCCAGATCAAGTCACAGAGCACACTATTTTCTTCTTTTATTTTTTAACCAGTTTTACTACAAAGATTAAGAAACCCTTTCTGCGTAAGTGTTGACTTCATGCTTTTAACATCCCTGCAATTACTTGAAGTGCCATGAAGTTTGATGTTGCAACCTCAAGCTGGAGCTGAGGCATTCACCCCAACTACAAAACAAAAACATCCCCCCCTCAGTCTACTTCCAGTTCTCCAAGCTGACAGATTCCACCATCTTTCTTCTGTGCTTACCAGGTGATTACACCATAGAACTTTGTTCATCCTCCAAGGAAATGTGATTACATAACATTTACCCCCAGCATAACTTGGCACATTTTGGGAAAAGCACAACTGGCAGCTGTCTGCAAACATGAATGTCTCACTTGCACACATCACACTGACCTGGCAGTAAGAGATGTTGAAGGGCTTTCTAGCCTCTTGCTACTTAGAGTGCATCCAGGAGAAACATACTGATCTGTACTCCAGCATGGGATAGAAAAATGTAATCCACATAGAAATGGTTAATCAAGATAGTGGGTTTGCTGGTTTATTTTTTTTAATGATTATGGGGATATGGAGAAGGATGAGTAACTAAAGGACTCTCAGAGCGGTGTGGTTGTTAATCACAGCATTCGTTCAGTCTCCTATCTCAGAGCAAGCCTTGGGAGGCTGAAGTGCACCAGAATCTCCCTTAAAAATATTGCTGCCCCATAGATTAGCAGCCTCAACAGTGAACATAACTCATGGCAACCTCTTAAGGTGAAGCCCAAACATGAGTTGAGGCCTCTATCACCTTACAAGTCATCAGATCTACACAGTCAGTTTGCCCAGTACTAGCAATCTCTGTGGTGCCCATGCTTTCTGGGCACATGACAAGGGACAACACGACATACAGGAGAGCAGCACAATGTACCCAGCAGCATCCTCCTCCCTGACATCTGAAAACCCTGCCTGCCCTTTTAAGAATTATCACTTGTTAAAACATGTGTGAGGGAACCCTGACCACAGTCAAACTATTTTGCTATGACCAAAACAGCTGCAAGAGGGTCAGAGGATGTGCTGTCAGCCCACTGAAAGCAACAGAGTGTTCACTGCTCTGGTCAGGCTCTGAACTGATGTACACATCTTGCAGACACCATATACAGTGCAATGGGCAATAGGAGTCCTGGGGAGGAAATGTAGACCCATAGCTGACACAGTTTTCTGCTCCCAGAAAAGCTGTGCTGCATGTAAAGCTGCAGTTGTCCAAGAAATCTTATAGTACCTGAAGTACTGCTGGGAATGTCAACAAAGAACACTGTGGCTGTATAAGTCCTGCCCCATTCTTGGCACTTCTATTTGTATAGCCCCTATAATAAAGCCTGAGGCACAGTGACCAGGGGAAGAGAGTTCTCAGAGAACACAACCTCTGCCTAAAACCAACCAACAAAGAAGTAAACTTTATTCACAAAGGGGAGTAGGAAGGAGCAAAACAGAAGCATATGCTATTGTACCATGTGCCAAGAGTGACCAACCAGATATATATCCAAAGTGCTCAGCCAAAGCTGAAAAGTAGTAGCGAGATACAGCCACCACAGCCTCAAAAGGCAAGAAGGCACCCAGGGGCCAGACAGCAGCTTCATCTTTTATGGGGAGCACAAAAGAGCTTGGCAATGTTTCATCACCAGAGACAGAAAGCTCAGATTACCAGGGTCCCAAGAAGGAGCACACACCATCCATTCCCAAGAGGCCCAGACATTCTGAGATATCTGTCCCCTCACTGCTCACAGGATGTTTTCAGTGGAAGGGTAGGGATTAGAAAGTAGAGGCAAGTCTCCAGGTAGCATTCCTCATGTCCCATCAGTCATCCACTTCAGTGCTGGGGTGGAAGCACAGGAACATTGCAGAAGCCTCTGTAGGACATTACTCTCTATAGGCTCTTGCTTAAACTCAATTCAATCTTTTGACACCTTTTCAGTAGTTTTCTACTGAAGTTTTACTACATTAAGTTTGACTTTAAATTCCTTATGTAGGGTCAGTCTTAGAAGGTGTCAGCTGGAGGCACAGAGCCTCTGCTTTGAAATAGGCAATCCCAGCTAATCCAGAAAGATTTCTTCCTGCACAATCAGCTTTTGAGATGCCACCTCCACCTGACTGACCCAGTCTCTGGATCAGCTTAAGAAGGCAAAATGACTCATGGCTATATCTAGAGAGCAGTGAAACGATTCTTTAAAGGGGTTACCAGAAGTGCTCACTGCTATCGTGTTGAACACTGCACTCCAACTTGCAACACACAAAGGAAAGCCTGCGGTAGGTCAGGACAGCTTGTCAGGAAAGTTGTGCACACTCTGAGGTGGGCTAGCTGCTCCCAGCACTTACAGGCTGTCTTCAGACCAGAAAATGTCCAGTCACCTCTGCATAAGGAGGCATCTGTGTTCACCTTCATGTTAACCTCATCTGTGACAACCACATCAGCGTTAGTACCACTTCAGAAGTCCTGGTGAAGCATCAGCTGACATCTGCTGAAACTTGAAATAAACTTCCTGTGGGAGAGGATCGTGTGATCTCCAGGATGTAAAGATCAATGGCACTGAACTGAGAGACTGAAGACATCTCTCAGGGGAAAGGAAACTAGAGGACCAGCAGCACCTGGCCCATAACCCTGGCAAAACTAGATGACATCAGTCAGGTTCTGTGAGACTGCAGAGACTGGTCTCCTTAACCACTCTCCCAGGACCAAAATGGAAATCAAAACCAGAACTCAACCTTATTGCAGTGGCAACCAGGGACATTAATCTTGACTGACTGGAGGGTGGAGAAGAAAGTTTATTTCCACCTGCACACAAGCTAAGAGGATTAGGTCTTAGGGGACTGGTACAAAAATGCTGTGAAGGGGAGAGAGCAGACTGCACATGGCAGGCCAGAGCCAGCAATAGATGTGGCTGGTTCTCAGCAGCTCTTGTAAGCAGCTGGAGGACATGTGCAATGTATATGCTACTGAGTGGCTTCTGAAGTCTCACTCACTGAGAAACATGCCAGGTCTGAACAGGTCAGATTGGCCACGGTGCATATTGTCACAGGATGCTCCTGGTCTCCTCCTCAGCAGTGTCTCTGTGCCTGTGTAGGGGCTGAATTACTGAAAGCAGGAGAGTTCCTCACCTCCAGCACTAAATCCCTCTTTACAGGCTGCAGAAACAGAGTCATACAGGAGAAAAAAAGACATACCTACAGGCTCAGTATTTAAGCTGTTTCACAAGCCTAATTAAATAGTCATCACTTGGCTTCTTCAGTGTAGATGAAAAAGAATGTTACTTAGTGCAGTAACAGCTTTCTCATTTGCATTTTGCCAATTTTCACACAGTAAGGAACACAAGACTACAGCTGCAGAGAAGGAGAAGGATGCAGCAGCACATCTTTTTTTCTAAAACATGAGTTTCTCACCTTTCACCCCCAATGCATACTCAGTGAAAGTTGAGTAGGAGAAACAACAATGAAGTCTGAATTAAAAATAATCAGAAGAAATGGGCTCACGTTTCTCTCAGGCTATGCTATAAAACTGTCTGTGCTGAAGTGAGATCTGTGTTAGTGTACTATGGAGGAATTTAGCAACTTGGAGAAGATAAAACAATTCAGTTCTTGTAACTTAAGGTAAAATGCCTGTCTACAGCTTGACAAAGCTTTCCCAGTTAACGACAACTCACTGTATTGTGACCTTTGAAGGTAAATGTGCTGTGGAAGTTCAGCTGTCTGGTGGTCAGTTTATTGGTAGCTCTAAAAATTCTTCAAAAAGGTGACTATCCATCCAGCAGTCACACCTTTATCACAGAACCACAGAATGGCTTGCATTGGAAGGGACCTTAAAGAACATCTAGTCCCACCCCCCTGCTATGGGTAGGGACATCACCCACTAAAAGAAAAATTAGTCAAGTGCAGTAA